TGACTTCACTGACTTCATCGAGACTTCAGTGAATTCATCGTGACTTCACTGACTTCATCAAGACTTCACTGACTCCATTCGTACTTCTTGGAACATGTATTTCTTGGTATTCCACAAACTACTCGATACTTCTCAAGATTTTCATTGAGATATTACGTTGAGAAGTGACGTCATTATCTAGATCATTAAACGAACAAAACATAGGGGAAAAAATCGTGTAGTCGTGAATTTCTGTAGAGTGATAAAGAAAAGTGCTATGAACAACATACTTAAAGTCCTGACCCCTAGGGGATGAGCGGGGCAGTAGTGGAACGTTTGAAGGTAATTTTCTCAAGTTGTTCTTGAATAATTCGACAATCGCAAACTCTAGCGAAAAAATGGAGGTATACAAAATTGAACAACATGGAATTGCCTATGAAAACGTCTCTATTAATTTTTCGTCTACAATGAATAGTTCCTGAGGAAGAGAAAAAATCGAGAAGTATCAAAAATAGAGTTTAATGGTTTGAAATTCATGTTCAATGTCTCACATCATGGAATTCGTGTTCAACGTGGCTGATAACAGAAACAAATACATTATTCCTTGAAAACAAACATATTGAATGTATACGTTTTAATAATTGACAATTATAATCATCATCATTTTCCATATCCAGCAACGGTGCAACATTCGTATTATATACGTATCGTGGCACATGCTGCACACAGTGGAGCATGGAATTCCAGCTTTTCATATTGTCCCCAAGTTGAACATCGGCAAAAGATGCTGTTCAGTATCGCTTCAGGTGCTACTGGATCATTCGTTGTCACTGGGATGAGCGATCCATCTCGTTACTGTTTTTTGTTCTCGAAACCTCCAACTTTCATACTTGCAAGGGAAATGTTTCTCAGAAATCTGTTCTATCATTCAATCACTAGCAATATCAGAACTCCACAAGTCCCGTCAGCACATTATTTCGTCTTCAACCTTGGAATAGGTCGAACAACTCTTTATACGAAAACTCGTTTGTTTATAGAACGGCAAAGCTTTGGAATTCTTCGTCAAAGGAAATTTTCCTAAGAACTCCTAATCCCCGAAAAAGACATTGCCAATATTTACCTCCTCTTTCTATCCTCCCTGGGTCGAACGATGTTTTCTTCGAACATTATAGAGATTCCCGTCCGTGCGCTCCAGTAGACCAAGAAAGTCACTATATTATTCACTAATCCACGTATCCCTTTTTTATCAACGCTAATCAACTACGGACAATATCACACTCACAAATTGAACACTTTTCAGTCATTGTTTATAAATAACCTCTTATCCAAGTGAAAAACTCACTTAGCCCATAGGTATTCATTTCATGAAACGCCAGGAAATAGTGAATCATTGAACATTGATTTCATACCCATAAACTCTATTTTTGTTACTTCTCGATATTTTCATCCATTGTATCCTAAAAACTATCCATTCTAGACAAAACACGAATGAAAACTTTTTCATATAGGACATTTTATGTCGTTCAATTTTGTATAATTTCAATTTTTCACTAGAGGTTGCAATTTTCGAATTATTCAAGAAAAACTTGAAAAAATGACGTTCAAACGCTCCCCTACCGCCCTGCTCATCCCCTATGGGTCAGGACTTCAAGTAAATTGTTCATGACACATCCCTCTACCACTGTACAAAAATAAGCGGCTACACAATTTGTTTACCCTATTCGACCTATTTTGGCGTTCGTTGTTTGAACTAATGATCGAATGTATAGTTTTGGATAACGCATATTTTCCTAATATATGATATATGATATTATTCTTCTTGAAATTCAGGCAAACCTGGTACGTATTTATATTACGATTTTCAGTAACGAGACTTCACTGACTTCATCATGACTTCACTGACTTCATCATGAATTCACTGACTTCATAGAGACTTCACTGACTTCATCGAGACTTCAGTGACTTCATCGTGACTTCACTGACTTCATCATGACTTCAGTGACTTCATCGAGACTTCATCAACGTGTACACCAGACTTCATTAGCGATTCGCCCCTCGTTCAGAACATTGTGATATTATTTATGATAATTCGATATAAAATTATTGTTCCATCCATGAAATATTGAGTGTAATAATCTTAACAAAAACAACTCGTTTTATTGATGATTATTCAAGGTGTCCCAGAACAATTTACCATGAATTCTACTGGGTGAACTATAGAGACCAAATTAGGCCGATTGAAGTCAACTTACCTCTATACGAAAATGTACAGTCGTCTTCAGAGAATATGTCGCACATGGACGGCGTCAGCTCTCTTAATCACCGCTGCAATAAAAGCGCTCATACCGTCCAACCGCGACATGTTCACTGAAGACGAGTGTACCATTGAGGCAGAGCGTTGAAGGTTAATTTTATTTCCAGATTATTTCGAAATACTTTGGAGGTGCTGCTCTGAAAATCGTAGGGAAATTCATTATCGTGAACGTTCATAGAGGAAAGTTGATTTTGATCAGTCTATTTTGGTCTCTAGTTCACCCTGTATAATTTATGGTACGTTACTCTGGGACTCCTTGTATACCGGGTGTCCCAAGATATCGTATATATTCAATTTCTTGCTTATTTGATGAGATAATTGAAAAATCCAAAGCTGCATTGAATGGCATTAAAGTCCTAATGACACTCGTAATGACATAAAAAAATCTATTACATCTGACCTGGCAGCTATTCATCCCCCACTTTTTATCTTCAAATGGCACCCCCTGTATATTGTCATTGGAAATTGCGTGTTATGGTATAAGGAATACAACGGTAGCATATAGGTATTATTATAACAAAAACAGCAACATTTAATGAAGTATGAATTTTAACAAAAATATGTTTTATGCGAATCAAAAAATGAACTGAAAATCACAGCAAGTGCTCGAAATTATTTTGACTTAAGAACCGGCTTTTTGAAACAAAAAAAATGAGCGGAGGCAATTTTCCATTTTCAGGATAATTAACCGAGTGATTAACTAACTTGAAACAAGTCACAAAATGTTGATATTTCTGTTGTTATCAATGGAAAATTCGAAGTATACGCTATCGTTATATACCAAATCGAATGACACATAATTTCTAATGACAATATACAGGAGGTGCCACTTGAAAATAAAAAGTGGAGGGTAACTGACAGAGAAGAACTGTCAAATATAATAGATTTTATTATATGTCATTAGGTAGGTACTTTAATGCCATTCAATGCAGTTCTTGAATTTTTCAAATAAGAGAGATATTGCCTGTATACCGCTGTATACAGTGTATACGATAACTTGGGACACCCGTATAGAAAATCCCTTCTTTTTTGCGGAACAAATTAAAAACCACACTCGCGCCATACGCTTGTGTGGTTTCCAAGCAACATAATTTGTATCTCAAATTCAAAGGTATTTGTTTTTCGACAATCATCAATACACTTGTATTACCTACGACATTATTCGCATCTTGACTATAAGTATGACGCGCCGATCTCTAGGTAAATGTGTATTTACGTCGTTTGAAAAAATTATGAAACCAGTTCTCGTCATATAATATGAGAGAGAATTGCACCCATCATGGCTGTGGGTATGAGCCCACCGTGATAGTGGAAAATGCATCAGAATAAAAAGAAGACGAAATTATTATTCACGGGCAGCTTTGACTTCATTTTCTATGTATGGAGAGATCTACATACAGAAGTGAGGTCGTTTCAGAACGTGTAAATAGCTTCTGGTGACAAGTGCAAGGGCACAATCATCGAACTCGTTTTCTGGTTCTGGAAATTCAGATTATCTCTATTATACTGAACTGCTATGTACAGGGTGTTTTCTAAACATTGGTACAAAATTCGTGGGCTGGATCAGCATTGGAGCTCAAAATTTCAAAATTTATATCAGGAGCATACCATACTGGAGAAGTTGTGAGTAAAATCAATTCCATATGGTATCTATTCTTCACATTTTGATTTTCCACATTTTCCCCGTATATACAGGGTGTCCGGAAAGGTCATGTCGTAAATGATAGGGCTATCAGAGTGAGCCAAGATAATGTTAGTACTTCATATAAAAAAATGTCTATCGCACTTCTTTACGGAGTGCTGGACCTTGAAAGTTTCTGCGAGTCCATACATAAAAATATGCATAATTTATATTCATCATTACTAAACTCATCCATGGTGTAACCAAAGTATTAAATACTCTATCAGCCTCATTTACGACATTTTTTTCTCAACAACATGCATAATATAGCGAGATTGTGATGATTTCAAAATATCCTCAGAAATTTTTTTTCAATGTGTATTGTATATGTATATGTATTATATATTTCGATATGAAAGGTTATCGAATTTTTTTTGGTTTCCAAATCGAAATATTTCAGAACAAGTGGATGTTTGAATATTGAATGAAGAATTGAATGTTCTGATTACTATGCATCTTGAAAAAAGGAACCAATTTTTCGAATTGAAACAAAAGAACATTTACGTTCGGCAATTATTTCTAATTATTATTATTTCTCTATTTTAGTGAGCATCAGAAGGAATCGGTTATTGTATGAACTTATATTACCTATTGTATATTGTGAAACTTCTCGGGATTATTCAGGATCCCCAGTATTGTACTTCTTCATTTTTATTTTCTGTCGCATTGCACTCAATTTCGGAACATGTATGATTCAAACGATCAGCGAAATAAAATAAATTGTATTTTCCTCGGTTATTTTCCGATTTCATGAATTTTGGAAAGGATTATCGTTAGATTCGCCAAGTATATATTCTGTGTTTAACATTCTATGTCCTCTGGTTTTCATCAACAAAATAAATTTCGCATAACCGTTGATATATATAGGTAGTCAAGTTTCGTCAGACATCGATAAATGATAAATCCACAACAAATGTTGGAGAAATTAATGATAAATGTTTTGATAACAGCTCACTATTGCAATACTTGGTCATCAATTTGGTTGTAATTAGCTGTAGATGATAATTTGTTTTTCTTTTGTTTCAGAATGCGTTTTTGGAAAACAAATCAGAGAATTGAGATCCCAATGGATACCAGATCTTGGAGTACCAATCGGTGTACTTTACTGCATGAGGTGTGAATGTGTACCAGTAAGTATCCACTTTTTTAATATTTGAGGGAAATGTTCCGGTCTTAGAGAAGACCTTCTTCAGTCTTATCAAAAGTGCTTCAATACAAAGGAAAGATTGGTTGCGAGATTTGGTACAGTTGCGAAATGTGGGTTCGGTGGTGATGTGAGGAGGCCAGTTTAAAAAAAGTGTCGGTGGTATAGATCTCCATCAGCAGCTTACGAAACAGTTGCCGGTCAAAGACCCTCGTGACCTCTACCTCTTTAGGTGTCTTTACGCCCCCGACTCTAGAGATTCATCAATGGAAGAGGAAATATCTCTTTCTCCATCGCAATTCAATGACATTCAAATCGAACTATATCGAGCCAAACGCTATACTCGTGATTCACCATGGAAACAGTATTCCTGATGTGTTTCCACCAAATAATCGAACAGCCAGAAAATAGTATATCATTATAAAAGTTGCATAAGACACTATTTAGTCGCACGTGTTGTTTGTAGTATGACGAGCGAAGCGAGGGGTGCTCCAAAAAAAGTATTTTTTCAATTTTGCATTCATTTGTACTCTTTCATTTAAAAAAAAGCATCAATGAAAACATTAAATATTAGGAAGATATGAAGTAAGTATAGTTGGTAACAATGAAAAACCATTTGAATGTTCATTCCCAAATTTGACAGATGGTAGAAAAATCATTCAAATTAACATCAATATTCCAGCTATATAAGTTGCACCTCTCCTGAACCTTGTCCAGCTTATGAAAAATAATAGAATTAACACAATTGGAAAAATTCCAATAATCATTGCAGAATATCTTGAATTACCAAATCCTGATATTTTTACAAGACATGTTTTTGGCGTTCTAGTGTGTCTCAATTAGCAAATAGGACCGGGGAAATCCTTAGCAGTTGCTGAAGGTTACATAATATAAGCTTCTGTGAAGAGAAAAATTGAGGTAGGTAGCTCAAATGTTTTCTTCTCAGCATTCAGCTTCTACAACACATTCTGATGTATATACCTCACAGTCGCATTGCACAAACAATAACTAAAATAATCAGACTAATGATCATAATTTTGTCTCAACAGCAGCCCAACAAAACTTATCAGCAAATTTGATAGGTAATAAATGCTCAAGATACCTGTATAGTTATTTGTTGCGTTCGGTATCTAGATACCAGTTTTTCTGACAGTTTGATATTGTCGTCACCATTACCAACTTTGAAACAAGAAGTTGAGCCTGACCAAATAGAATCTGTTTCGATACGCATTTGGGTGCCATAATGAATTTATTAAATACGCAAAGTAGTTATCTACCTACTACTATACAGGGTGTTCCGAAATGGCGTGTACATAGTAAAGGAGGTGATTCCTTGGCTTATTCTAGGACGTCTTAGGACTGAAGAAGAAGTATAATTGCTTCGTTTTCGAGATACACGTAGTAAAAGTTGAGTTCACCCTGTATAACTTCTGGAGATGGTAAAATCTAGTATATCATGTGACTGATGGAATAGTGCAAAAATATTAATTGATCAATCAATATCAAAATATTACATATTATTATGGTAAAGAACCAAAACTCTCTCTTACATTAATAAGGTTTCCTAATTTCAATATTATCATCAAATCATTATTTAAGAACTCAACCATATTAAAAATCGTGAGAGGTTCATCACACATCCTTCACTTTCATCCATTGGTATCATACCATAATATGGTTTGAAATACAGAGTGTTATTCAAGTATCTGGTCAAACTTCAAGGAGCGATTATTTGGGTAATTCTAAGAGAAAAAATCATATAAACATATAGGTCATTTCAGGACATTTCGTTTACATACCTACATTTAAATCTGGAGACAAATCAATTTTTGAATATTTCCTCAGAAACTAAGTGATATACAAAAATTCAATAGGGGATAAGAAGGTAACCCACTGCAATGACACTAGAATCCTTATTTCGAATCTAATCTAAACACCGAGTCTCAGTGAAATTGACAAACAGGATTTTTGGTAATCGCTAAAAACTGTCGTCGACAAAGAAATGTCATTTATGGTTATGTAATTAGTGTTGTGAAATGCATTCATGCTCAGCTAATAAGTTATAATATAATGAATGAATACTCAAGATATTTTTTGCGCTAAAATCTATAGACATCTCTTCAAATTAACGAAGAATGACAACGTATTTACTTAACGAACCAATACATTCTTCAAGTCTATATTTCACTGCGTTTCTATTTATATTCATCTGTGGCTCTAGCAGCATTCCAATAGGTTCAAAGTTGGTGAAAAAGCGGACGAACTCCTGTTTATTTTCATTGTTTTCTACTTCGCTTCATTTAGATCACGTTTTCATTACAATCTTGCACCAATTATATTCCTTCAAGTCGCCGCCGACAGTCCACCATTTTTTCTTTCTCGACCAGTTTCAATGATTAGTACATTGCAAATTGCCTGTTTTTTCGACGATTCAATTTTTATCTATAGTTGACAATTATTGAGAATGGAGGAATAAGCCTGCGAAGGCACACACTCGGTACATATTATAGAAGCTCGCAGGTAGAGTGCAGAATTTTAAATTCTGTTGAATAATTCAAGAGCATATTTTCACACAAAACGGCCTTAGCCGGACAATAAAAGGTGTATCATTGAATTGGAAAACAAAAGAAAGTAGCATTTGTTCAAGGATTGTTGTCCTGCAGAAATGGGTTTTCGAAATCACGTGGTCAATATACCTACAACTTGACTGGCCAGAAATTGACATGGACAATAGTATATAATGTAACAAGTGTTATAAACATCCTTTTAGTAACGGAATTGAGAACATAAAACTAATTGTCTAGTCCAGTCCATAGGATTACTGAAATGGCTTGCTTACTAACCTTTGTAAATAAGAACGTGAAGATAAAAACTCTTCCATTCGCTGAGGTATCACAGTTTCAGATTCCTCAGATTTCTATCTATGTTCTGATTGAATTTTTTTTGCTCACATAGATATTGTGTTTGTGTTTCACGTTTATTGTCATCCTTAGCATAGAATGAATGAATAGCTCACAAAGATGAGAGCTTCATTTTTACACATCGGAGTTTTTGGAAATATGCCTAATTACCTAAAACATTCACTTTGGTCTATATTCCGCATAATTATAATTTGAATGTAGAATTCTGATACGAATCGAAATTGTTGGAATAATCCTTTTTGCAAAAAAGTTCGGAAATGACAGTTGACAGTTCCTACAATAAACAGACCGGACAGAACTCGAACGACTGAACGTGTTTAAAAAAATGTGTCGCCATGGTAATGTGTTTAAGAAATAAATTGTGTTGCCATGGTAACGCGTTCAATTTTTCGTATGAAGATCATTTAGCGTGGTACATATCCGTACGCTAAATGCCATTTTAGTTATGGGAGTAGAAAAAATAGCATTATGTTTGAATGCATTAATACAAACTGCCTCACATTCTAGATGTGACATGCCAACGTTTCTTTCATTTTCGAACCGTCATAACTTTGGAATAGATCAACCAATTTCTTGCAAGATTCGTATAGCTCCATTCAACATCACCAATATCATAATATAATAGTACGCTACCTTTTTTAAATACGAGAATCTCCACTGCCATTTTATAGATATTAATGCTAGACGTTCATTCCACTGTTTTAAAGTTACTAATTATCCGTTAATGTATAACAAGAAGTTGAAAGCAACTTTCGAACATTTATAATTCCTCTGAAATTTCTTTGGTCGATTCGCTCATCGTGAGCCAATTTGAGAACAATCATCACTTAGCACCTACCCGCACGTGTCCATAAGTGGCCAATCAATAAAGATGTCGAAGAAGATTAAATATGACACCTCAATATGGCGGCCACCCACCCAATAGAGATCGCAATTTATTTTATTTTTCACTTGTCCATTACTGGTTTTTTAATAACTTGGCAACGGTTGGTATTAACAGTCCATTGATGAAATTAACCTCTGGTGCGCTCATTCTTCATTTGTTTCGTCAGACTGATTCTTGGATATAAACAATTGAATGTCAGACGATGACGTTGGGTTCACATATTGAATGGTAGATGGCCTCATTCCTAGAACTCATGATCAACATCACTTCTACCAACCTTGATTCGGCTAAATCGCATAATGTATTCCCTATCTTCTAGCCTATCTTCGTTGGTCACAATTCGGTCACAATTGTCAGATTGATGCCTGTAATTTTGGTACAGCACCAGAGTAAATTTAGCGAGAATCATCCACGCCATGTTATGTTTATCAAGGAAACGATTGAAGTGCGTACACCAGAGGTTTATTCCATCAGTAACAGACCCATGGAGTGCATTATGAATCATAACGCCCGCTAATTGTTTTTTTCTATAGTTAATAAGATTACATGCCAATCCATGAGAGTACCTCGATAACACGGTCTCATCTATGGCAATAATATCATTTTTCAACTTCCATTGATTAAATGCTTCATAATCCTTGCCGTATATACACGATTCTGGATTTCTCCGGCAATACATCAATCGAAGTCTTGACGTCTGCATTTTTTTTTCATCCAACGAACAGCGAGGCTCTGGAACACATTGCCAAGGAAGGTGTTCCCCGAGGCATATAACCTCCAGAAGTTTAAGAAAGAATAAGAATAAAATTTAGATCATTTCATTCGGAAAAACTTTTTTTCATCAGCCACCCTGTATATGAAGAAAAAGTGAAAACAGATTCAGAAAATTCGTGAAAAATAATTCCAGGAACGTTTTTGAATGTCAAAAGAAGGTTGAGAATTACAAGGATTAAGGGGAGGTGAGACATTTAGGTGGGACACCCTGTATATATGTTAATGCGTAATCAAGGCGGGCGGAAATTTCGAACATTTTCGTAAATTACCTCGATAAATAGTGGTTTGTTTTCATTATACAGGGTGTTTCAGTTTTTTGTGGCAGGACTTTAACAGCTTGAAGAAGACATTTTTTCAAGATAAAAATCTCATACAAACATATATGCGTGGGAGCTTCGTTTCCGATTCACAGGGTGTCGAAGTTTCAGATTTTTTTTATGTTTTTTGAATTTTCTCCTACAATTTTCGGAATAATTGATTGAAATTTTGTACACCTAAAACACTTCGAAAATTCAATATTTGAGACTATTGAACATTGCTGAATACCTACAGGGTGATAGACTTTCAGAGGTCATACCCAATTTAACCCTGTAGAACTTTTTTGCGTGCTGTCTCTGCTTTCAATGGGACATAGATTCAGATCGTCCTTTCAATTTGGAAACTTTTTGCCTCCATGTAAATTTTTCGAAAACTGTATGGATCTCGAGATAAATGCCAAAAATGAATTACTTGTAATAAAACCGTTATTTCTCAAACACACTTATTTGACATTTCTTAAACATTTTATTGGAAAATTGAATGAGAGCTTCCATAACAAATGAAATTCAGTTGCAAAATTGAATTGAATTTTTTGAACACCATTATAATTAAAACTAGAAAAAACGAAACATGGAAAAAAAACTTTGACACCCTGTAAATCGGAAACGAAGCTCCCATGCATATATGTTTGTTTGAGATTTTCATCTTGAAAAAATGTCTTCTTCAAGCTGTTAAAGTCCTGCTACAAAAACCTGAAACACCCTGTATATAGGTGATTTTTAGTCAAGTACGCTGAATAAATGTGAAATTACCAATAAGGTTATAATTTTATCAATTATATGAATTTCCTTTCCAAGAGATGAAAAAATAAAACAAACATTGGCCCGCACTCCATTTCTCTCATTATATACAAAAGCATTTTTTCCTCTACAAAAGCATTTCACCTGTCTCCCGCATCCCACACAAAATCCTCTCTCATCTGACCTCCCAACCCTCCCGTTTAAATATTAACCGCCCCCATCCCTCGTTATACCCGTCCCGCACGTACAGCCAACCCGGTCACGGCCCTCTGGATTCCCGAACCTCTTCACATACCCACCTCTGGAAATTACCTCGTGCATTTTTCATTCCAGTTCCAGCGGAAGAGAAGGATCGTCGCCCGGGTGCAGTGCCGGAACATAAAGAGCGAATGCCCGGAGCCGACTTGCGACGAGCCTGTCCTGTTGCCCGGAAGATGTTGCAAGAGTTGCCCCGAAGATACCAACAGTGAGTTTTTTCTTCTACAATCATGAATATTATATTTTTGGAAGACCGGGAGTAAAGAAGCACTTTACCGCCCGATTTTGCGGGTGTAAAGTGACATTTTACCGCCTGATTTTGCGAGCGTAAATTAGTACTTTACCGCCCCAGGCATTCCTGTACAATTAATTGCATTTGTTTCACTTGTGATGGTTCCTTATGGGTACAGGCTCCTTTCAAAACAAACTCCATCCAATTTTTTTTTTTACTTTTAATCATTTTAACCCGAGTTTCAACCCATTCAATGTCGTGGAGATAACTCAGAGATTCATGCTTTCTTCAACTACTACTATTCCACTCTGAGCAGTTTGGACTTCTTCAAATCTGTTTACACCAATTAAATTAGTTACTAATAAAAACAATTGACATCATCTCTTGCATCATCTAATGTCATCTGACAGCTCTCATCGACTTTTGATGACATCTACTATCCATAAAAAAATTAGATTTCAGGGCTAAACAACTACTATTACATTAGGAAAATATGGTAGTGGGAAAACGAATAAATCACATTACAGGGTGTTTCCGAAATCGGGGCGATGGATAGAATGAGATGTTTTATATACGAGACATGACAGGATGAATCCCAAGAAATAATTGTTTCGAAATATTTTCGGGAAATGCGTGCTCCCACCATACTCTACAATACAACAATACATAATATAATAGGAATTTCCTTTCTTGCGCTCCAAGAGATAAAAAAACTATACTACATTGTCTTGAAAGACGCTGAAATATTCATATAATGTCAATTCAATTCAAATAATTCATTCTTTCCATCGTGCGAAATTATTATCGATAGGTCGAATCACCTTGTATAAACAAATAATGTCGACTGCGAGATAAGTATTAGTTTACTACTGCACATATTGCACATTTTATAAAATCATAGTAAACATAGGAGCAGTTTTTTCTGTAATGTAGGTCGGCAGGCGCCATTAGCTTGGATAGGTTGTGGCCTTGCAAATTGCTGTCATTGTACTACCGTGAAAAACGATACGGTGCACTAAAAAAATCGCGGATACGGTTCCACACACTATGGAAAATATATCGAGTTACTCCGAGTCATCATCAAACAAAATATACCTAGTATATGACAGCGACAGCTTCAAAATTGTTCCGTAACTTATACTTAGTTTGAGACAACCAAATTAGGAAGATACATGTTATACATTAGTACAATAATTGAAACAACAGGTATACTCTCTTTCTGCTTTACATGATCCATAATCATTTACGAAAAACAATAATACTAATAATGAAATAATGATCTTTCGAAGTATTTTTCCAAACAGCTTGTACTGATTTTTCATATGTAATAACACAAGTTATACAATTTTTACCGGAAATATTTGGCGATTGTTACGACAACTTGTTCACCGTATGTCAATCGATGATTGAGACAATAAACGAGTGGCTTGCGGGAGTTGCGCACTCTGCATCCATCATTCAGGCTTCCAACATAATTGACGTTTTAAACGTCCAAAATTTTATCGCTGGAAAACGAGGTAGGTTGGTCTCGTATGGGTCAAGTCGGATTCTGTGTTGGTTCGATAAAATTCAATGCACAAAAAAATATCGCTGTAATGCAGAAGAAACAGTGAAAATGGCCGATTTTCATTGATTCTAGAGACCAAGAGTGGAATGGACATTAAAAAATCTGAGACGCCAAGCACTAATTTGATTTCAAGAGTTTTTTTTTGACATCTGAACATTCAAATAATTTGGAATGAACAGAACATTTCCGAATGTTTATCGGCATTATTCTGAATCATCCCGTATACAAACTCAAGTGGATAGTGACAATAAATTGATAAACTGATGACAATCCACCTAAGTAGGCATCATGTCATGTCATGAAAGATCCTCTTCAGCTGATCGATGAAAAAGTAGTGCAAACAGTTTTTATCTAAAGATGACAAAACACGTGATTATTTGAATTGGGTTAACGTGAAACGTAATATTCCTCCTTTTGTATATTGTTTCTGAATATGTATAAACAAACAAAACAGGATATACACACAATAAAAGCAGATCAAGTGGCGCCTAGATCTTGCAAAACACACTTTATAACACTTCTTGAACCTGAAATGTCAAAGAGCAAGTAATAAGCGATGGATTTTTATTGGAAAATTCGATAAACCGCGGCTCACGCATATATCATTTATTTTGTATACAGGGCGATGCTAGATTAGGTACGTCAACAGTAGATATAGGTCACCCAAGTAATTCTGAATATACTACGAATTTTCATAATTACCGTCTTTATATATACTGGGTGTATCTAAATAACACCGAGAAAATTCAAGGAGTGTTTCCTTGTGATATTTTAGGAAATAAAGTTCATCAAACATGTGTCCTAACTTGCTTCGTTTTCGAGATACAGGGTATATTATAATATTTTCATGAAAAATCGTTTTTTTTATTCATTACTCGATTGTCTTTCCATCAATTTCAATAAAACGTTGTGGTTTTGTTAATATCAATATGGAGCTTCTTCTGGTGCAATTAGAATCGAAATAATATTCCCAGTGGCGTCACAGTGGGTAAATTTATCGATATTTATGGGGAATGTCATTGTACGCCATCGGTTTTTCTGAGTTTCATATTTTTATTAGATTGAACTATTGAAATAACAACTTTTTTATCCCTTGTGTAATTCTTGTATCTAGCTTAATTTTTGAGGAAACAATAAAAATTCGATTTGACTTCAAATTTTAATGCATGCGTGTTTTCAAGACTTCCATTGAGATTACTCAATAACCCCAATTAGAATCATTTTGAAATTTTAGAGTTTTCTCAGTCTCCAACCATACTGAATTTTGGCACAACGAAAGCTTATACAGGGAGGTTATAAACAAGAATAATTAATACTTTCAACTTCAACATCCTGTATCTCATTCCTTGAATTTTTTTGGTGGTATTTATATACACCCTGTATATACCACCTCACAGTTTTTATCAATTTCGCACATTTTCCTCCTCCAAAAATTCAAAAAGTACATTTTTTTGTCATCAAAATTTCACCATGTATTATCGAATTTTCCAGTTTTGCTTCCAAATTATGTTAGTCGTTTGGATAGTAGATGGCAAGGTAGATGGGTAGCATACATGTGTACCAAATATCAGAAAAATATAGTAAGTGGTCTGTTAAGATATACCCTTTTAAATAAATTATCCAAATCTAAATCCAAATGAATAAAACACCCTATTTGTTGGTTATAAAAACTGTGATATTTCTAGAATTACAGGCGATAAACTTTAATTATCAATGTATCTCAACAAATCGTTTTTATATCTCGGAAACCCTGTATACTATAGTGCGTTGAGATAAACTTCCTATTTATCGAAAGATGAAGAAAGGGTACTTGCCAAGATTTTTTTTTCATGATTTTCGCAGAATCCACGGAAATAGATAGCTAAAATTAAAATTAACGAAGACTATCAGTCAGTGGCGTTCTCAGGATAATGTAATGTCCTTTACATTATTATCTCCCGCAATTCCTATGGATCGTCTGTTTTCCATCATCAAATTGAAATAATAAAAAGAAACTTGTCGTTTCGTGGTAGGAGTATTATAAAAAAAAAGACACGTTCAGACGAAAGAAATATAAGAGTGGCGCCATCTGCCGATGCGAGTGGGTGTTCGGGTAATATTACCCGCCCACCTGAGCATCGACTCGTATGTTTCACTTACAAGGCTTCTCCTACGACCTTATCAGCAATGCATTCGTTTCTTTCATTCAACTCCGATGGCACGAGAATGCTACGAAATATAAAAAACACACATCAGTAGAAAAATGGTTGTTGAATGTAACTAAACTCATCGGCAAATAAAAACAGATACCCTGAAATATTTAACAATGGTTTTTCTGTTCCTGTTACTGTTATAATATAATACAGTGCACACTCGATAATCCGAACTAATTTTTGTAATTTTTGTTTGCTTGACACATCTTTGATTATTTATAAAGGCCATTTCTTGTGTTTTCTTTTTGGGGGCATTTTTTTATTTGAACAAATATTATCACCAAGCAAAGTAAATATCACAGCTCAACAACGTACTAAAACGGTGAAAAACCTAACCACGCTTGCGTAATGTGAAAGGAAGATACTAACAAAAGAACAATTAGGGGAATCCCTGAACATTTCACTCACAATTTCTATAGGAAATAAATAGGCCTAAAGGTATAGGTTCGGATTATCGAGTACTATGAAATTCGGATTATAAAGTACTCAATGTATTAAAAATGCTTGTTCGGACTACTGAAGAATTCGGATTATTGAACGTTCGGATTATCGAGTCTGCACTGTATATTATCGAAATGAATATGTTTATGTTATTTATAGTTTTCTTTAGCTAATTTGTACACAAATCAGGTGATTTGCCTCAAAATGTCACTGCGTTTCAAATTGATTACATTATTGATCCTAGACGAAAAATCCAATCGATTGTCAGTGACACCAAAACAAGTAGGTAGATTACTATATTCTTGTACAAATAGTAAATTTCCAGATCAACAAGTTCTCGGTAGAAATTGTTTTCGCAAAATAATCATCATGTCTTCTTGACAAAAAGCGAATGTACAAAATCACATTCTTCACTGTGTAAATGTGCTCTCTTAATCTTGTATGAATTCAAGCGCAAGATCTGCATATACAGGGTGTAATGTAATTGATGGCTAAAAATACAGAATATGGTTCCTTACCTCATTTTATAGGAAGAAAAGGTCATATGAACATGATAATATGCCCCAAACCCCTTATCTTAAAATTTTATTCTTTCCTTGTTGATTAAAGAAACTTTCACAATGTATGAAACTGTCACGTTTATGAGTACCTACTTGTCAAAATAAGACCACAGCGTAATCGATCATAGGTCATTATTTTAAATACAAAATAGAGCACTAGAGTACCAGTTCTGAATAATTTCGGTCGTAATTTCGTTATGTCACAATTTCAATGGA